TTTAATACCTAACGAAAACGCACGCATTGCAGAATTATATTGCTTATTAATATTAATTTCGGTATTATATTATATCGGTAATATACATATTTATAACATATTAAAATTAAAATATTAATATTAATATTAAAATATTAATATGTATAAATAAAATAATAAAGTAAGATATTAACATCGAATTCGAATAATACATTGACCCTTATAAGCTATTGATGAAATTAACTTTACGCTAAAGTTTGGATCTAAATTGACTGCAGTTTATCGCAAGAATATTTTAGCATTAAAAAATCCAAATTTTAGAAATAATAGTTATTTGTGTAACAAGTGCGAGAAGTTGAGAATTGGACACGAGTGCGGAATGGACGCACGAGCCGAAGGCGAGCAACATACATACATATGTATATACATATATATATATATATATATGTGTGTGTGTGTGTGTGTGTGTGTGTGTGTGTGTGTGTGTGTGTGTGTGTGTGTGTGAGTGTGTGTGTGTGTGTGTGTGTGTGTGTGTGTGTGTGTGTGTGTGTGTGTGTGTATATATATATATTAAAGATGTATCTTGCGTAATAAAATGTAAAAGTAAATCACAGAACGTTTTCGCGCGTAAGTGTTACGCTGGCCAATTTCTCGAGAGAGAATCGCCGCCTATTTTTTCCTCATTAATGCATGGCTATATATAAATAAAAGATCTTGCTCGAAAGAGTAGCCGTGAAAGCCAATTCGGACACCAGTCGTAGCCAAGCGATACGTTTAATAACAGCACTTTCACGATGCTCGGAGCTCATCGTAAATCAACCGTATTCCACCTGCGCTATCGCTCCGTCGAATCTGATTCGTCCACTTTCGTATAACTTTTTGCATTCTAGGGCGGGGCGATTTCCTTAACCCATTTCCTGACTTTTACATTTTTTTCTTCTTTTGCCTTCTAGTAGGAGATCTTACAGCGATATAATCTTCGAAATTAATCAGGTCAGATCGAGTGTACACGGTACTTCGTGAGTCGCACGCGATCTCGACTCTCGACGAGTGCGATTCTTTTTTTTATCAGAGGCATCTTGATTGCGTCTCGTTTTTTCCTCTCCTTTCGACTCGTTACATTTCTAGTATTGAATATCCCGGTTAAATCGCAAGTTAAAGAGTAATGTCACTTTGTGATAAAAAAATCGTGTGTGTGTGCGTGTGTATAACCATTTTTAATTTCGCAACTCAGCATGGGTAATTGTTATAAACTCAAAGAGGATTTACCTTTTCAAATTCTTTATATGAATTCGCGTAATTTGCTCGAAATAAACTCAAAAAGAATTCCTTTTTGATATTTCAAAAAGACTGCGAATGCTAATAACACGACGCAACGCGACTATCATGCATCAGTATCTTTTCGTAAGCAAAAATCCTCACGCGCGACGCGCTAGGATATAAAAGGCGAGCCTGTGAAACAGTTAACTCTAATATTCTTCGCTGCAGATCAACTTAAGTAATACCTCTGATATCACACAGCAAAATGCATTAGCTAGTAAAATACATGATGGCTAGTACATTTTATGTTCTTTCTGATGCAGAAACTGGATCAGAAGTTTGTTAAATCCTTTTTGGATAAATTATAAAGAATTCTTTCTTATTCTTCTTCAGATAAAAATAGCGCTTAGATAAAGCTCCATTGGAATAATATCTAAAGCATAATTACGCATTTATCGCGAATTTTTATGGAGTAAAAAAAGAATTTTGTTGACTATCTGAACAAGGACTCAGAATTGAACAAAGAAATAAATTCCTTCTGAATTTTTTTCAGAGCAGAAATGGTACGAAAAAAGAATTTATTTCATAATTCGGGAATTCAAAAACAAATTTTTTTTTAAATTCTCTTTTGCTATCTAGAAACGGCTCGCGACTAAAAAATTTCAATGAAAGTTCTTCTCGTGAGAACAATCGGTTAGCAAATCACGGTCGCAATTTACAACAAGTACTTAAATAAATTAATCTTATGTCGTATCCCCAGTTTACGATGAGATCAACGTGGGACAATGTAACCCTTTCGCGTGTCTTTGAGCGTTGTATCTCCCTTTTTTCAAAACGTGCCACATAAACTGCGGGTAAAAAAATGTCTGTTATTCAGAGACTGAGGAGATTTAATGCCGGAGCGGAGAACAACAAAACGCGACGCGATGTCGAGTGCGGGGATCAGCTGAAATGACTCACGAAGCCGGATACAGGTTCCGTCGTGCGGGCACTCACACACACGTGTCCCGTCGGACATGCCCCGTAAATCGCGGCGATGATTCCTTTTCTTTTCTTTTTTTTTGTCACAACTGAAGCGTCATCCGCATCGCACTGCAAGGAACATGGCTGATAGCACCTGATATTGACGCCTATATATACGGCAGTTGCGAATGTACCTTTGCGCTAAAGTCCGTTGCGTTTGTTCGCGAAAAAATAAGAAGACGATGTAAATAACAAGAGAAAGAAAGAGAAAAAGAGGAGAAGGGAAAAAAGAGATTTGTATATACTTATCGAATAGTCTCTTCTCTTCTCGCGTCTGATCGCGCACTTTGGAAATGCTGATGCAAAAGTTCCCGATCATCCCTTCGACTTTTGAACTGTAAACGACTTATTAAATTAATGCAACGAGAAATAAAACGTACAAGATCAATAATATTTTTTTTCTGCAAATGAGAGAATTATTTCTTTATGCGTATTCAGAGAAGCGAGAAGTGACAAAAACTCCGATAAGCGTATAATTGACGACTTTTAAATCTGCCAACAAATTTCTCTTCAGGTTCTTCAATATTACAATAAAAGTTTTCTTTCTTTCTTTCGCCAATGAAAAAATTTCGTGATGCTCGAATGTTCGATACGAAGAGAAATTAAGAGAGATTATACGGTAAGAATCGTTTTTTTCTTTCTGTTTTCAGATTGACTATCGGGACGCAAAATGGTATCGAGGCGGAAGATACTTTCGCGTTCGCGAGATAATCTCGTGGAGTCGCAGTACGAGGAGCAAGATGAAGAAGACATATGGTATAACTTGGATAAATTGTACAAGGTAATCTTTATTTGTCTTATTTTTTGATTATATATATTAAAAAATAAAAAAATTATATATACATATACAGGGTGTCCGAAAAATCGCCTACTCCACTTCGGGAGGTGATTCGGGACCCAAAAACAAGCAAAAAAGTTCATACAAACATAGGTCCGGAAATGAGCCGTTTTCCGAGTTATAGCCATTTTTATGTTCAAAAATCGTAATTTAGAATCCGCTTGGCATCCCTCTTTCTTAATTATTTCTTAAATTAAAAATTTTTATTTTTAAATATTTTTAATTTTTTTAATTTTAATTTTTTTATTTTTTTTCAATTTTTCAATATTTGTAAATACGATTACATTATTTTTAAAAGAAATCAGTTGTTTTCACGGCTACTTGAAATCAGTTGTTTTCACGGCTATTCAAAATCAGTTGTTTTCACGGCTATTCAAAATCAGTTGTTTTCACGGCTACTTGAAATCAGTTGCTTTCACGCCTAGTCAAAATCAGTAAGTACAATAAATCACGGCTTTTCAATAAGTTTCAAATTATTATTTAACAACACCTTACTTTTAGGTTGTATCTAATCTTTCCGTATTCATCAATGGATCGTTTAAGTTTTAATGAATTAGCTGATATGCATCTTATGTATGGTCTTGCTCAAAGTAATGCTGCCGAGGCAAGAAGATTAGACATCCAGTCTTTTCCAAATCGAGATGTACCGGGAATAGCGTCTTTTCGAAATGTAGACAAAAACTTGAGAGAATTTGGTAATTGTAATTAAAAAAAATTGAAAATAAAAATTTACGATTTTTGAACATAAAAGTGGCTATAACTCGGAAACGGCTCATTTCCGGACCTATGTTTGTATGAACTTTTTTGCTTGTTTTTGGGTCCCGAATCACCTCCCGAAGTAGAGTAGGCGATTTTTCGGACACCCTGTATATAGGTATATATATACATATATACATATATATATATATATATATATATATATATGTATGTATATGTATATATGCATGTGTATATAAAATTTTTATTAGGCATATAAATGTATGAAATAAATAATATACAAGTTAAGAAATAATTGGCTATGAGAGCCGACGCAGGATCGAATATGCGGAAAAATTATATTTGCAGTCAAAACATTAAAACATTAAGATCAATCAAACGTTTCGGCCCTAAATCGGGCCCTAACGCGTACAATGGTATCGCAATCTGCATATGCGTGCATATCCGATATTGTAATCAGCCCATTGCGATACCGCGTCGTTGCGTTCACATTAACTTTTATATGAGTCACTGAAGAGGGCCCGATTTAGGGCCGAAACGTTTGATTGATCTTAATGTTTTAATGTTTCGACTGTAAATTAGTTATTTGTGTAACAAGTGAGGTAAGATGAAAATTCCCGGGTGCGGAGTTTACGCACGAGCCGAAGGCGAGTGCGGTAACCGCACCCGGGAATTTTCATCTTTACACACGGCTTACACTCCCTATTTTATGTTGCAAGTGCCTGGAAAGTGGTCTATCACGCACGCGTAGCGTGCGTAATGGGGCACTTTCCATGCACGTGTTGCATAAATAATTTTTCCGCATATTCGATCCTGCGTCGGCTCTCATAGCCAATTATTTCTTAACTTGTTTTACTCAGAGCCTACCATATACGTTTGTTTAAATAATATACAGGTTAAATATATAGAAAACGCAAGTAAATTATTAAGTTCTTTATTTTTTTCCCCAAAGCATTTCTATCAAACCTATAAAATAACAATACTAAAATAAAATTTGACATTAATATGTACGTCTTTCTTCATTAAGTAATGACTTCCCTGTTTTCATAAGTGATGCAATACTTTTGATCGGTACTGTATATAATAAATAAATAAATAAATAAATATGTGTGTGTGTGTGCGTGGAGCATTTTTGCTGAAATTTTCGCATTTTTACCCTACTGCAATAATTTTGACAATTTTTTTCCGAGAAGTATTCTGAAAAAGAGAAATTACGTATTTTTTTATTTTTCGTCTACGATCAATATTTACAACAATGTGATTTTTGTAAAAATTAAATTTTTTGGTGATTACTTTTTAAAACTTTTTAAAACTACTTTAATATCTTGGAAATGTTCAATCCTGTCAAAAAATGACTCCAATGAAGTGCAGTTTAAAACGAATTACATGATGTATATATTCTTTTTAATTTTTATAGAGTCTAAAGTTGTGTTATACGATGTTAAAGAGGAAAAAATTGTTGTTTGTAAAGTTCGCCATTTTTTTAAATTAAAAATAAAATTTATAAAAATTTTATTGTAAATTACGAAATTTTTGAGACGTTTTGGAATATGGCAAGATTTTTTTTCAAGAAGTTTTACCTAATTGAAGTTTTTAATCTGCTACTAACGGATGCATTGTAACTATTTTAGTCCGAATAATGCCGAATTCAGGTTATTCAAAAATTTCAATATAGGTAGAAACACTTCTTGAAAAAAATCTTGCCATGCTCCAAGAGGTCTAAAAAATTTTGTAATTTCCAATAAAATTTTTATACATTTTTAATTTTAATTTTAATTTTAAAAAATGGCTAATTTTTCGAAAAACGTTTTCCTCTTTAACATCGTATAACAATTTTAGACTGTCCAAAAATTAAAAAGAATATATACATCATGTAATTCATTTTAAACTGAATAATTTCATCCGAGCCGTTTTTCAATACCATTGAACATTTCCATGATATTAACGTTTTAAAAAGTAGATTATATATGTGTTATATCGAACAATTCAATTTTTACAAAAATTACACTGGCGGAAATATTGATTGTAGGCCCAAACTGAAAAATACGTGTCTTTTCTTTTTTATAATATTTCTCGGAAAAAAATTGTTAAAATTGCAGTAGATGAGTAGAAGTAGAGATGCAGTAAAAATGTGAAAATTTTAGCGAGAATGCTCTGTATATAATATAGTTCACATCATGTACAAACTTGTTACTGCACTAGCTCATCTTTCGCTCATCTTACATTTGTAGGATCACATACAAGAGGTCTTAGATAAATGGAATCAGATAGACGACGAAATTTGGGCGAAAGTTATCGTCTTTGAGAGAAATAGACGGGTTGCGAAAGCATATGCCAGAGCGCCTGTCCTCACGATAAACGGTTCGAATGACGGATTTGACGGATTCAGGTACACACGACTTTAAGATACGATTACTTAGCCAGCGTCTTGTAAGATTTTTGTAATTTAATATACAGAATTTTTAATTATATATCAATACCAATATGAATATGGAGTCTGAGATAAGAAAAAAGTGCTATAAAAATACAGTTTGTTTAATTAAATTTTACTGATTTTACATTATCTTTTGTTGAAATATACTCGATAATATAATTCTCGATAATTATTCTAATAAGAATGCTAACGATTTTTCATATCAAAAGATGTATAATCCAACTCTCTTAATCTCTTATTTAACAACTATCTATTAACCGAAAGAGGGTGAAAATAAAATAAATACTAATACTTTTTGAAGTGATGTACGTTATAAATATATTACATAAGTTAACATTTAGCATTGTACGGGTTGATTTACAGGATAGGACTTTGCGGATTCGATAATCCCATGCGAGACCCAAAAACGGAGGAGGCCAAGCGTCACATAAACCAGGGAGTTAAAATAAAGATGGACGAGCAGGGCAACATTCTCATCAAGAGATTATGTAAAAATAACGTATATGTGAAATCGACAAATCAGGAGGACAACGCGATCGGTCCGGAGATTATACGAAATTCGCAGGGTGCACTCGAGCACGAGAAACCCGGAAAGGTAAGTCGACGTTATAATGTTTCGCAGTTTCTAAACCGTCTACGTTGGATTTCTTTCGTGAAATATTTATCGGCGAAAACATCAAAATGGGTTAATCGCGTGAGGGGTGGGGTTTTCAACTACTCTCGCCTACTTCCAATTAATAACAATAATAATAATAATAATAATAATAATATATATATATATATATAGGCTGTGAGATAAGCTGTGAGGTTAGAAGATAGTGCAATAAGATATAATTGTATAATTTATAATAGGATTTTTGGATATTTGTGTATACGTGGATTGAATGCAAGTATGAGAGATTAAGGATTGATTGTAACCAAGTCCACTTTCTGGCTGTATTGCTAAAGTTAATAAACATATATATATATATATATATATACAATATATCTTATTGCACTATCTTCTAACCTCACAGCTTATCTCACAGCCTATTGACATTCTATATCTATCTTCTTTTTCTTTCGCATTTCTTTCCCTAACAACTTTCAACAATACCTCCGCTTTGGTGGTGTCCAATTTATCGTTCCAAAGTTTTTCCAATCTTTCCTTACTATCATCTTTTCCTAATACAGTAAACCATTCCTTTGTCTCAATACAATCCTCTACGTAGTGTTTCATGCTATCCTTACCTTTGTTGCAAAAAATACACATCCGTTTCTTCTTTTCTAACCAATACCTATTACCTGATTCTAAGTTACCGCATCTTAAATTTAACAGAGCTCTGATACTATCCCCAAGGTCTTGCCTGTCTAAATTATCCATCCTTAAATAGCAGGGACCTCCCAAATCGTTGCTCAACTCCTTGTATTTCTTATTATACCTTGATTCTAAAATTCTATTTATATCACACGTACGTGGAAAGTGGCCCATTACGCGCGCGCCATCTGTGTGACAAATAGCCAATTCCATACACGAGTCAAAACAGTGCGGTAATGTAACATTACCGCACTGTTTCTTCGAAACTGTGCGGTAATGTAAACATTACCGCACTGTTTTGACTCGTGTATGGAATCGGCCATCCGTCGCACAGATGACGCGCGCGCAATAATGGGCCACTTTCCACGCACTTTGTAATATAAAATAGGGAAATAGTCGCCTTCGGCTCGTGCGTCCACTCCGCACTCGTGTCCAATTCTCAACTTCCCGCACTTGTTACACAAATAACTATTTCCTCTAACTGCCTCTGAACATCCTCATCTCTATTCCTCATTTCTTTACCTAGATTCCTCCCCTTCCTTCTCAAGGCTTCCACAGCCACTACACTCCACCCATTCCTATTAAAATATTTCTCCCTTTCTTTTCCATATCTATCATCCATTCCATCCATTCCATCCATTTTGCTTTCTTTATCTAACACTTTTTAATACACCTTTCTTCACTTGCTTCCCTGACCTTATCCTCAAACTTCATGGCCCTAATTCCCCAACCTATCCTTAGTTTGCTCATTCCTAGTTAATAATAATAATAATAATAATAATAATAATAATAATAATAATAATA